GCTCGAACCTGAGGTCACAAAGCAGGTTGTTTTAAGGAGTAGATATTTAAAGTGTCTTCGTGAATTCACAGCAGAAATATTGTGCCTTTGAAACGAGCATTCCTGCCCGACAAGTCACTTGACATTTCCAGCGCCGGGGACGGCAGATGGAGAGTCGCGGCGATTGTCTCGGCTCAGAAGTAGGCCGCGTAAACCGAGACTTCAGGGGAGCCGCGGTGCCAAGTTTAAGATCACGGTGATCAATGAGGCAGAATCGTTACACAACTGTCAAGTGACCAAAGTACACAGTGTCACAGAAAGTCATCCAGGAAGTTCTCCCAAAAACATTCGAAGATACGAGTAGTGTACAGACACACTCTTGCCTTTTTTTTAAACCCATATTTTGGTCAGATACAGATAGTTCTTTTGTGGATAAGTTGTCTGATGTGTCTGGGAAAAAAACAGTGACACAACACAGAAACATGCGAGGACAGGGGCTCTTTCATCTCCACCAAATCAGCCAGCTTTGAAAACCGCTGACAGTCTAAAGCTTGCGCTACAGTATGTTTTTTGCATTCTCAGTGGTACGAGGGACGAGGGGGATTCTGCTGCTACATGCTGAATAAATCACAGCTAATAAATAATTGCATAAATGTATTGATTTTCCGTTCTTTTGCTGAACACAATCAGTGTTTGATGACGGGGTTGTGGGACGGGCCGTCAGTCCTGTAGAAACAGAATATTTGAGCTGCGTTCACAGATGAATCGCGTCTGTGAAACGAAATGTAAAGTCTGTGATTTGTTATGCACATGGCAAATTTCAGCGGACACAGTTTACGCGGTGGTGGCTGTACTTACTTTTCCCCGGGTTTGTTAATAAAGTCATTCTCGCTGATTAGTCTGATGAAGCCACCAAACTGTGCTCTTGTAAGTTGTTCTGCCTTATAAAATGCAATAAACGCACAGCGAGAGGGAGATGTGAATAACGGCCTGAGAAGAGGTCTAATCAGGTAAAAAATAATTAGAAACCTGTGTTTAAGTATTGCACTGATTTAATGTTAGGCTTAGAAACTAGCTTGGAAAACATTTGGATGAGTTTACATGTTAGCCAGATATGAATGACAGTAGATTTTGTAAGCGGGTGTTAATTAAGTTAATCAGACAAATATGTCGAATCAATCAAATGTGCAATTCGACTGCCTTGTCCTGATTTTGAAATTAACAGACGAGCTGGTCCTAAACGGTAATTACAGTCAGTGGTTTTAATATTAAGCTCTAAAGTAGTCCTCCTGCGAAACAGTAATTGGGGTTATGCCCTCAAATAAAGTTTTACTGCCTTTGCATCATTGATTATAGTGTCGGCGCTGCAACAAACACGTGGCGAGAAAAGACACGCGACGCAGTGGACAGCGTGGCGTGAAGTGTCAGTTTAGCTCCAAGTCAGTTGTGTTTTTTTTTTTTTTTTATGTGGATTCAAGCAAAATCGGCTTTGGACAAGGACACGCAGACAAAGACGCAGTATGTTAACATGGACAAACAATGCTCACGGACTGAAGGACAACACAATTCATAAGCGTGTATCTTGTGCTGCCACCTTCAGAACTAATATGAAGGTTATTTTGCACAACAGCAAACAAATGTGAAAAATAACAACAAAAAAAAAGGAAAGCGACCCTGTAGTTTGACCACTTTAGATGTTTAAGTTTCCCATATGATTTATTTATAATTAGAATGGATTACCGGTTTCGATCACTGTTCTCTCTCTGTCTTTTCTTTTTTTTGTTGTTTAAAAAATGTTCTTGTAGTTCTGTGAGAAGTTCAACAAACAGGCTGACATTCTAAATCTTTGCAGCAAAAACATGCCTCCAGAAGTATTTTTATCCCGCTCATCACCAGTCAGGAGTTTATCAGTGTCTGAAAAGGTTGTTTTCATTTGAATCCCAAGACAAAAAAGTACAAGTAGAGCACCAATTGTGTATGGCTGATTTCTTACTTTTAGATTTTTTTTGGTGGGAAACGAGCTTTATACTGATTTCTATGTACTATGTGTCTGATGCTGTTCCTTCTGCTCAGTGACATGAGAGTCCAATCTTAGAGCCAGTAGGTTTTGCTCAAAACCATCCCAAAAATGTTTCCCTCACTCTGCTTAGTCTCCATAGTGACAAACAGTATTTATTTATTTATTGCATGCATCAGTTTCAGAGTTCTTTAAAGGTTGCTCTCTAGTAGTTCGCTAGTCATAATAAGAAAAAAGTTCTAAAATACAAATGAAGTAGATGCTGAGTAGCATTTAAGCCAATGTACGAACATTAAACCCAGCATAAGCACTTCCAGTTTGAGATGTATTCATTTATAAAAGAGTGATAAATCTTTCGTTGACATGTGATATTATTTCTCTTTTGTTTGTCTTTATTCACATGTCGCTGTTTCTACACGGCAATATCTCCCCCGTTCGGAAAAGTTCCGTCCCAAGTGGCTTTCTTAATCTTAAGCTTTCAGTCTACCCAAAGCCCCCGTCGTCTCCCAGCGTAATGAAAAAGACAACCTATCTCTAAGTCAAGATGCAGCTTTTCAAAGCTATATTTGATGTTAGTTTTGTTACACTGGCTGAAAATAAAACATCTTCCTATTCCTTCTCCAGGGTTTTGAGTCTGCAAGTGGAGGGTTGGAGGAATTTGATGGATTTATTCCCACATATAAGAAGTGGGAATTAATTAATCTGCGTAAACTATACTTTAAGAGATAAGCAGTATGTTTTTGCATTAAAACAGCAAGTAAACTGTGGTCTGACTATTTGGAAAACAGGCTTATTATTGTGTCTTATTACGACTTGTCCGTGTTGATGGAGGGAATGTATGTGGCCTAAGGGAGCGGCACTACGAACCTGAATATTCACCACAGCCTTCTTTTTCTAGTCGCAAACTTTTATAGGCAGCAACAGAGTAAAAGTTCAAATTATGTAATCGATTTTTTTTTTTTTAGAATTTCCACCACAACCCGGGCAGCTCAGATAGAGACCTCCCAGTAGAATGATAAAGAATCAGAGCGTTTACGGTCTACAGTGAGCAGCACAGCTTTGTGGAAGGCTGGAGGGAAATAAATTTTAGTAATGACTGGATTTGATAGCCTCACACAGCCAGTCTGCAGCTAACAAGCTCGGTTTTCATTAAGAGGTCTAAGTGTGGAAGCGGCTACCGAAGAACCGATTTAGCTCGGTAAGATGCTTATCAACCCATCAATAAACATTTAGATGATAACGCGTCTCGCTGGCTCTATAAACTCACATTATCAACATCTGCTACCTGGCTAAAGGAGGAAGCTGTCTATCATTATATCTATCAATAGGATTGATAGGGTAATAGCTCCTTGGCTTCTGCTTTAGGCTGATCCAACTTCATGATACCGTGGCTACGCAACATCCTCATCCAGCCCTATTGACATTATCCCTATGAGTATTTCCAGAGACGTAATGGGGCCCGCTGTCCTAATCTGCATGTTAATGTGCAACACTAACTCACCTTCTTCTGGATCTGTGCCAGATTGGAATATCTTGCAGTTAATTGCTGCTTAAGGCGACATAGTCGTTGCCCCCAGAGGACAAAGAAAAAAAACCCTCAAAAGTCACATAAATTAAAAAAAAAATAAATCTAGCAACGCTCCACAGCAATAATACTTCTGATTCGGGTTCTGCAGTGCTGTAGGTCGGCACTGCTGAGCGCACCATGCAGCAGCCTGAGACAGCATGGCACCTTCAAATACTGCAATCCTTTGCACCTTTACCTGAAAATTAAATCTGCCTTTGTGTGACCAGGTGTTAAAGTAAAGTAGCACCTCCAAATTCATAAATCTGATTCCCATCTCTCTGTGTAATACTGTGAAAATTATACAGTCTTTTATGTCTTTGCACCTACAGCTACTGAAAGGTCTTTTTTTTATTATTTTAATTTTTTTATTCAGGCTAACCAGACTTTAAAATGGATGCACGTGGCATTTGCATGTGGTTATTAGTTATGTTCTGCAGCTGCGAGAACATGCGGTTTGTCCACAGTCTAAGTGTCAGAAACACAGTGGTGCTGAATAGGGGAGAGTTGAGGTTCCGAGTCGATATTGCAGGCAGCAGTGATTGATTTATTACTTGTGGGTTTTGCACTCTCTCTCCCTGCTCTTTCTCTCTTTCTCTCTCTGCCATCTGTAGCTGAGGCTCCACAATGTGGTAACTGGAGGGAAGTGCTCCTATTCACAATCATCGCTGCCATTTACACACCAGAGAAACCTCCAGTGTAACACAGCGTGGTAATTTAAGTGTTAAATTTAGCATGATGCACCCAGTGTGTGGGGTTCAGCTAACAGTTAACCAACCTTGCTCTCATTTCTTTGCGTCTGTCATTTACAGACGAGAGGAAGCACCACTGCGGTTAAATCTTTTTGAGTCCACGTATTGTGTTGTTTATTAGAATGCAGAATTTAACAGAGTAGATTGCATTTCTCCCACAGGCGTCTTTACCTTTAAACTCTGGCATTTATAGCTGAAAAGCAGAGCCGCTGTTGGTGGAGCAGCTTCGTGTTGCTTAATTTTTTCTAAGAATGAATAATGCACAGTCACATGTAGGCGCAAATTTATGTTGCTGCACAATTGGTGTCAGCAGAGTAAGAGCTTTCTGTAAGAGCTTTTGCTTTTAATATAGTTTTGTTTACTTTATTACAGCAACCACCACCGGCTCTTATGATGACCTTTTGTAAAAAAGTAATGGATAATAGGGAAATGCCAGCATACCTGTGTGAATTGCTCATTATAATAAGAGGCCTAACCTCTGCCTGAAGTGTGACATTAAAGGTTCAATACATGCCTGTGTAATGAAACGGCTCCTTTTATGTCTGATATTCCACCACGTTTCTCACCAGCGTCTTGCAGCAAAATATCACTTTTTCATTCTCTCTGTTTTTACTCAACTGAAGTGAAATGCATGTAGGAAATGACACGCACTTAACCTTTATCCTTCTTTTTGCACTTGTCTCTGCAGAAATGCATGAAATTCAATGTGGATGCTCCAATCTGGCTGTCCAAGCAGCGGATCCTGTGTACTCTCAACCAGAGCCTGAAGGATGTACTCAACTATGGCCTATTCCAGCCAGCTTACAATGGCAAAGCTGGCAAGTTCCTGGATGAGGAGAGACAGCTAAGGGAATACCCCTTCCCATCCATCGCTCCTGTACCTTACCTGGAGGTAGGAGTGGATCATGTGTATGTATAAGGCATTAAGGAGCACGAGCAAGAGGCGAGCAAGAGGCAGAAAAAAAAAAAGAGGGCGATACATGCCTCCGCACCATAAATAGCATCTCTCTACGGGCTCTATCATCCCCTGAATAATCACTATTAGCCAGGGGGGAAATCAATTCACATCAGAATTGCTCTGCCTTTCCTCTTTTAGAATTCTGCATTGATTCTCAGATTCCAAAACTAATTTATTTTTATTTTTTTCCTTCTGTCGCTGATACCAGGAGGGTGCAGTGCAGCTCCAGACAGCGTACACACTAAAAGGCGAGCTGTTTGGGTGCATTTTAGATTTATTGTGTTAATAATTAACTTTGCAAGGTATAGCTGAGGTATTTCATGAATACTAAGCACGTCGTCAGAAAGGCTAATGTTAGCTGAGCGCCAGACATTACGACGAGGAAACAGCCGCTTCATGAACTCATCCTGCCATCTGTGATCAGGTGGAGAAAATAACCGAGTTTCTTTCTGTGCAGTGTTGTGGATGGTGCTGGTAGTGTTCCCACAGTTTGAGACATTAATAATATTAGTAGATGTAGCAGCAGGATGTATAGCATCTTACTGCTGCTTTGCCAGGTTAGTAATCCAGCCTTGGAGGAAGAGAGGGAGACTCAACAGATATGAAAAAAAAAAAAATATATATAGGAGTGAACCTTCTTAAATCATGTCAAAATACTGGTGTCTGAGGTCATGTTCTTGATATACTGTAGACTAACCACACGGTTCCTGTTGTTGTCTGTCAATCATCTTAGAGTTATTACAGAGTAGCTGTTGAAGTCTTTTCGACATGGTGTGTGTACATGTGTGTGTACTTCACAGGCTCACACAGCGTTTCGGTTGTGGGTGTGTGCGTCATTTAGAGCCCAATGTATGTTTTTTGGGTTTTTTTCTCTCTCTCTTTGTCGTGATGTGTCAGTCAAACCTAGAAGCAATAATGCTGCGCTCAGTGACAGTGTGTTGTCTGCAGCAGCTGTCATCTCTCAGAGATAATTGCAGCGCTTGTCCATCACGCTTTTTTGATCTGAGAGAATCGCAGGCGTGTAAGGATGTGTCGCTTTTACAGACGGCGGTGTAAAGACATCGGCTCAATTTCAGACCGGCCGCGTTGGTTTTTCGGTAATTTTAGGGATTTGTAATTAAAGGTTGATAAAGATTTAAAACCTTCCCTTAGGTATTTAGAATTATTGGAGCATTTCAGTTTGAAAGAAGATATGATGCTTTGCTGGATCCTGGCTGGGAGTGAAGCTTGATACGGTCAAATTTCTGCGCTCGAGTATTCATATCAGTGGTTTTCAAGGGCGCCTCTGAGAAGTTGTAAATGTCAGGAATATTTGTGCCATTTATAGTGTAGCTGATGTGATGTTGTGGAAGTAGAGCAGCACATGCCACTACAAACAGGTAATCATATGCATAAATGTCTACATATATATAAGATTATTTACTTCTTTTTTTTGCAGTTCTTGTTCAATCTGGACTGTGCTCATAGTTTGGTCGTACTTGCAAAAGCTGGCAAACTGGCTGAATAGGGGGCGGACTCCGATCAGTTTGTGTGTTTGTGTATGCGCACAACTGCCTGCTACTACTCTGCCGGAGCGCTGTGTGTGTCATTGATTGACCTGCAGTTATTCCCTCAGGCCTGTGGTGTGTGGAGATGATTGGCAGGTTTGGATTAGCAGCTCAAAATCCTCTGTTCTGTCGTGGATTTACCCTGTTGGTGAACACCACGCATCGGGGGAGAAGCAGATATGCATACGCCGGCGCACACACACACACACATACACACACACACATTGACATCACTTGCATGCACGTGCACAGACACAAACACACAAACCTGAAGTACGTGGTGAGTCCAGTGAAAGTTGCAGAAGTTTTAAAGTTATTATAAGCTGTCAGTGTTGAGCGAAACCTTCCACTAAGCAAGCAGTTTGCAACAAACCCAATAAGTGATCGACTTTTGACGAGCTGGGAAATGGTGACGGACCGGAGCCGCGTGGTACAGAATCAGAAACCTTGACAAACGATTTCGTATTAATGAAAGCACAAGTAGCACAAATGTTTATCGATCTTTTGTGTTACCATCACAATAAAACTGCAAGAGTCTTTTGAAGCAGTCATTTAGAAACTGTTAGAGCT